ATTAACATGAAGAAAAAAAAAAAAAAAAAAACGATCCAGTCACGCTTCAGGTGCATTTACGACAAAAAATCTAAAGTCTGTTTGTGTTTAGCTCACCATTATAGACCGTACAAGCACATCAGATGCAGTGTTAAGTTGAAACGTGTGTTCAAGTCTTTTTAATTACTTATCTCTCTCAATTAGATTTTGTTTTAGCAACAAGTAGAAAAATCTTGGAGTCCAGTCCATTTCATTTATTTAGGTGGGCCAAGAACTTTGACGAAAGGTTGGATCGATGTTGAGGAGTTCCTCAAACGCTGTTGATGATAATGAGGGCAGGCATGGCGCTCTGCTGGCTGGTCTCACACATAGCGCTGGTCTGTGCCAACTTGGCGAAGACACGGGGTGTGCCCAAATTATAAACTCCAGCCTGGAAGAAACAAGCTTTCAAGGAAAGCCTGTACACCTCTTGAGCCTGGAGCTGCAACTTATATTGGGTCTGGCCCAGCCAGCTAAAAGAACCATGCACTTCCAGTGACTCTGGGCTGCAAAGATAGACAACAAGAGTGTGAGATGGCTTGTAAGTTCAATCTCCATATTTCAAAGATTTTGAGATCAGGAAAAACTGAGCTGTACCTGGTCGTTTTATGCCGCAGATCAACAATGACGTCTACCTGAGCCAAGGAACAGTTGGACAACGTCAGGGTGACTGGAACCATACATAAACTAGAGAAGAGAAGGAAAAAAAATGTCAGAAACATAAAATCTTCAGACGTAGGTCTAATTCTTGAAATAGCAATGCTTTGTGCATCCTCCACAAAAGCAAATTTCACTTGAAATAAGCAATTTTTCAGTTGAAATATGCAATAGAAAACATCTGTACTTGCGTCTCCTCATGACCTCGTATCGGAACTCAAACATGCGACCAAGTTTTTAAGCCAGACAAAATAGATTTTTCAATTTTTATTAAATTTAGTGATGTAAAATACAGCACTCTTGACTTTCATCTGGATATTACTTTGATCAATGGGTCTCATAACTTCTGTTAATCCCATACTGGTGTGCAGCAACTTTATGTCATTTGTCCTGAAGCACAAATATGGATGGACTAACCCCCGGACTCTGGAACATTCATCTCATCATGCTACAAGATGTTTGGTTCAATTTCCTGGCAAATTTAAGTTTTGTTTGGCAGTGCTGTTGCACAGTAGGATGCGTTTGACCCGGTTTTAGGTTTTCGATTTTGTTCGACGATAAATCATGATAAAATTCCCCACGGTTAGTATTAACGTTTCATGTGTGCAGTTTCTGTCTGGCCAAAAACGGACCGAATTTGCATGCCCTGCTGTAAATTTTGACCGGTTGATGAAAAACAAGCTTATGTGGATTCTACACATTTAAACAATTCAGATAAGTTATCTAGATTTATTTATGGAGCAGATAAAATACATATAATCATTTATTAATCAATTATAATTTTGACTTTATTATTAAACTTAAATGTTATTTCAACCATTTTTTTTTCTAGCTAGTGTGTTGTCGTGACCGGATACAACACATCCAGCCACCAGCCAAGTGCAACAAATCAACAAAATGTCCTAAAGCTTGTGTTCAGTTAGGATAAAAACTCAACAGGCAAGAACTTTTAGCACTCGACATTTTGTCAAATTTGATTAATACAGTTTGTTAGGGTTATTTATGATGGCATTCCTTAAAGTGTTTTTGAAGTTGTTTTAAAGTTATTACTTCATCATTATTTTCTCTTCTTAGTAAATGCTGATTTCTTGCTTCAGTGACTACATTTGCATGGACATCAGTAATCGAATTATTTACCTTATTCTAAATAAGCTTTTAGAATATTCCTTTCATGTTCCCGTTATAGTACATAGATCGATTAATGGCACATATCATTACGTCCCCACGCGACGCCATCCGACGTCCCCTCCAGAATTTCACGTATAAACATAGTCTTCGTTATGGTTTTTCAAGTTTTCCCCCATGTATTTTGACAATGTTTTTCACCATTGCATAATTAAATAGCCAAAATGTGCTTTTTACTCTTTTGTCTTATTTTTCAAAGAAAAAATTAATTACAAAACAACAATTTAAAAATATTTAACATTAACATTTTTTAACATTCTAGCAGACCAAAGCACAATTTAACTTAAAATGAATAAGTTACTAAAATAATATTTTTGCCGATCAGACCCCTTTCTTGAATCAGGCATGTATTTTTTACTGTAAAATGAAAAGCAGCCTTGCTGAGAAGAGACTTCTTTTAAAACATTACAAAATATTACAGATCCCAATTTGAACACTGTGTGTATGTTATAATAAATGTATTAACAGAGCTGTTGTAATTATTATCATTATTATCGTCTTACTTTTTATTTTATTTTACAGAACAACAGTAAAATTACAATACTAACATTTATGAATGTTG